AAATCCTAAAACTGAGAAGATTTGGCGCAAATAAAAAATCTATATACATGATAGGTTATGCAAACATGCAAAGAAATCAGGATTTTCACATACAAGGTTGAAGTTAGCTAGAATTATGATCCATGCCTATATTCCAGTACAGCTTACTTCTAAGACATTGCTCATTCATTCAAAACAGTAACTGATGAAGTAAAGGCCGCCGCTCTATTTTGATTTATATCAGAGATACTCTTCAGGATGTGAGAATCCGAGTTTTGGAACTAGAGACTTAATTAGCAAGCCTCTGAAAATGTCTCATTCATTCAGTAACTGATGAATTAAAGGTCACTGCTCCATATTGATTTATGGTAGACAGTCTTCAGGAAGTGAGAACAAGTTCTGGAACTACAGACTTAGTCAGCGAGCCACTGGAACTGTCTATAACATAATAAGAACCAGCTAATCTAAACAATATTTTGAAGGATATACAGAATTTACCAACAAAGGTGTATCAAGTAAAAGTTTCAGGTTGCAATGACAGCATAACTTGACGCGTGGCAACTCACAGCTAAATGAGAAGCCGAAAAACTAAGAATAGCTGAAATAAGGATAAGGTTGGACAAGAGAATTTATCAAATCCATTTCAATAAGAGTATTTATCAAATGAACCTGAGCTGAGGTAAGATTTCCAGAAAGCGAGTCAGGAAGGGTAACTATTCCTAAAATGTTTCTTTTAGAACAAGAGCAAATCTGCTAAGGTGCCAATTTTCCTGTGGATTCAAAATTGACATACAATCTAATAAAGCTAAAATGCGAATGGCACAAGTAGAGACGAAAACTACCAGAACTTGAGAAAACTGCGGCACTTGGTGTTTAATTCATTGCTTATCAAGGCGAGCGGCCCCAGCAAAAATTACGCAACCAAGACAGGAAAAGAAAATTAAAGAAAAGAGAAGACAGAAGCAGCAAGCGTCATAATTTATTCTATTCCAGTATTATTAGGGCTACTGAAAGTGGACTACAAAAGACATATTTGCTACTTCATAAGTTCATATAGCTAGTTACCAACGAAACGCAAAATTGAACAGGATATAAACCTTGGAATTTGTTGTCTTCTGTGATTATTCCAAATGTTTCTATGGTCTCACGAATCATGATACCACGTACACCACTTAAGCCAGCTATTTTGCACTGAACAACTGCAGGAAATAAATACCATAATGTTTCAGAAACGAAGTTGTTATATTCTCTGTGTGCATGTGCCAGTGTGCAAGAGTTAAACACAGTGAATTCAATGGCTTTATATAAAGATAACCTCTTATTGTTATTTAGCTCATCACAAGAATGCTCAAGTCCTCGTAAAACATTAATGACAGGACAGATTCAGCGATAATAACACCGCATTCCTTAAAATAGTTTTGAAGGGTCTACCTAAAAGAGTTAAAGACGAGATTGCTTAGTTTTACCTAGAATTAGTGCACCATGTAAGTCTGCATTAAGGAGACATTGTGATAACTGATTTTTCCTGCAAGGCCAATACTGAGATGAGAGAGACATACAAGTCAATTGTTTAGCTGGATCACTAGAGGAAAAACATCTTTTCCGAAAAACTAATCCTTGAAAAAGAAGCAAGAAAACAAAAAGCCAACCCAATATTCTTCAGGAGTTTTGTTACATAGTCTTTCCACTTATCGTGCATTGGCTTGAAGATGTTATAGCTGCAGAAAAAGCCACAAAAGAGTCCTCAGAACAAGAGATGATCTGGGCAACACCAGAAACTGAATACATAATTTTGCTGCTCAAATCAATAGAGAAATAAAAGGCAAAAAGAACAGCAAAAGGGGAAAAAAGAACACCTAACCTATAAAAGAACAAATTAAAGCATGGAACTTAACTAGTAAATGTAAGAACAATGAAGGCCAAGCCAACACTGGATGCATATAAAAGTTGAAAGGGTATAAAATCCATGAGGTATCATCAACTATGAGTATCTAGAAATATTTGGCTCTATGTGACCCCACCATACACAAGCCCCAGAAAAGTATAATCTTTCAATGCTGAACAAGGTGAAGCATCCAACAACTAGGTTTGTCCCTAGAATCCTAGATGAGCAACATAGCTAAAAAGTCAAATAAGTAGACAGCTGAATTTGATCATTTGGAAGTTGGATTTTATGCAATGGAACCACACGGGTGTAAGATATCCATTTAGGCCTTTAACTTTCTAGATAAGCAATATCTACTGCAAGCAACACTAGGGATAGGTATTAGCAGCGTATTTCCTCGCGAGGATAACTGCAGATAATTACCACAGCAGACAGAGGACATATATCATATGCAACATGAGATTCAGTGTATCAGTTAATCTCTTAATCAAGAATCATCACACGAAAAGGTCATGTTACTAAGTTTTATTTACACCGAATTTTTCACTATATTAAAATAAATAAATACATAATCAAACCAAACTTAAATTTACAAACCACCATGAGGCTTCAACATTCAACTTTCAACATAGTGAGACTAATCTAGTCAAACAGAAGAAAAAAATACACACATTATACTGTAGCAAGTTGGATTTACACATAATTCCTCGTCGAGGACAGAAAGTTTTTAAAAGGCAAGGTAAAACTAATTTATTCAGGAAACAAAAAGCGCAACTCACTTGTGGAACTCTTGAGGCAAATCAAATGATCCAAACTTCTTATGTTGCTTCATGGACATATGTCTTTTAGATCTCTTTGACTGTCTCTGCGAAGCCCGAATACGAGCTCCAGAAGCAATGCTGCTTTTTTGTACAACATTATCAAGAAGAATCCAGTTATCAACTTTCACATTTTTTGACCCTTGCATATATTTCTGGGCTGAATCACCGTGTTGGAGAAGATCATGCAAAATATCATTAACAGTCATGATTTTACCAGAAATCTGCAACAAAGGGGATCGGTAATAAAGAAGCTATTAACTAATCATGCGCATTCTTGAAACATTATTTTGTTCACGTGTATTCTTACCTCAGTAGTAATTTTCAAAAGATTCTCGTCTACTGAATGAGAGAGCTGAAGGTATGCTGGATTATTCAGTTCGACATCTATGTTGCAGGATGAAATTTTAGCATCCTAGATTGGTCTCATATAAACCTTTCTACAGTCAACAATGCAAGAGAAGCATACAGAAGAAAGGTTGTACCTTGAGCAGATGTATGGCCAGAAAAAGATAAATAGCCTACAAATAAGCCCGGAAAATGTTTGGATGAGATACAAGAGGAAATCAAGTAGAGTGCCAACTATTACACTGTTTTTGGATGCCAAAAGTTAATTTAACTTATATTCCTGGAAAACGCCAGCTGTTACGCTGTTTTTGGATGCCAAAAGTCAGTTACGGATAATTCAAGTAGAATAAAGAGACAGAAAATTTAACAGATCAAAATTCCCTCATTTAGTTTGGCTTCCAAAGAAAATATTAAACAACACAATTAACTTTTTTTTATAAGTTTAAAAAATTACACAATAACTTCCGGACATAAAATAATTTGTACACAGTGAATTATAATGCAATTACAGCTGCTTTCTTTTGATATACCAGTTCCAATCACGTATAGAATTCAAAAACACAATTCCAATCAATGAGAAAGAACTACACATAGTAATTGCAAGTATGTTTCCTTCTTTTTAAATAACGGGACATCATGGTTTAGCAAGTTGTTCTGTTGTTGGATTCCACTATTGAAGAAAACTAATAGGCAGAGAGGAACACCTGGGAGCATGTGCACTAGGTTGGTCCTGAATAAGTGAAGAGCAAAACGGACTAACACCATGATTACTAAGTGATACACCATGACGAATGATACGATTTGTTGACCAGATGAAGGCTCTAGAGGATTTAAATCAAATTTAAATCCAATATTCTCACTGTTGCAACCAAAACTTCCTGGAAACCCTCATTATTCTTCCTCTTTCTTCTCCTTCCTTCATTTTATCCATCTAGAGAGTCTACCGGAAAGAGTCTCTATGTCTTCTTAAAGGTAGGGGTAAGGTCTGCGTACACACTAATCTTCTCAGACCCCACTTGTGGGTTTACATTGAGTTTGTTGTATATATGAGGGAATCATTTTCTTTAGTAATCAAAGTTCATCCTACAAAATTCCATTTACCCAAACACAACATTGGACATGCAAAATAAGTTCTTGTCCTCAGTTAGTTCGTCTAGACTTGCAACAAAGGGTGTCAGTAGCCAATGAATTGGATGCAAATCTTGAATACAACAATTCAAATCCCAAAAGAAATTAAAAATACTCAGTAATTTCTTCAAAACAGAGTTACCGGATACTTATCGGTGGGAGGTAGCATGTACCTGGTGGAATAGTCGAGATGAGCGCAAGCCGGTCTAGATACCAAAATTATATATATAAAAAAGAGTAGTTTGTCTCAACTTTCGGAGTTTTCTCAACTTTGAATACATCTCAATTCTAAAGGCATTAGGCAAAACACCAAGATCAGACTCTTCCTGCTCTGTTTTGCTTCCTCCAAGCTTAGATGATATAATGCAACCTCTGTCCCAAATGCATGTTGGAGTTTGAAATACAAGAGTCCACGCATCAAATTTTCAGCATGACATCCGAGATGCACTTAATACTAAATTAATTCTACACATACCACATCTAAATAAACTATATATACCACTAATTTAAGAATTCTTTAAAATTTTTGTAGTAAAATCGAAAATGGATTGACTCATCAAATGGCAATAGTGCCACAATAAATTGGAACAGCCTAAGGACTAGTATTTAACTAAGAAGACCGGTTCTTGGCTATGTTGCTCGGACTCTCCAAATATATTGCCAGGTGCGTGTGGGATCGTCCAAAAGTAGCGTATTTTTGGAGAGTCCACGCAACATAGGTTCTAGGTTATCCCAAATAAACACGCATCATCACAGATAAAGTTAAAGCTAAAGCCGACAACCCAACATCACTCCCCTCCATTGAACCTAAACAGATTAGCTGCTGAAATTCAACTTGAAATTTGTTTGACAAACAACAGAAGATTAACAAAGAATTGAACATAATTCCACTAAGTCCGCACAGTATACCTGGTTCAAACATACGGGTTAGCTGTTGCTCAAATAGTATATTTGTATTATATAAAAATATTAAATTAAGAATCCAGTTATTAGTAACCCAGAATACAGTTGAAATTCTGACTCCCTCGTTGAACTTCAAAGTCTCGATAATTTGCAGTAATTTGATAGACAAGCATAAAAAAAATATTGCGACTATATAGACAGCACGAATATAGAGGAGGAATATATTTAAAAAAAACAGTGAAACAAAGAGGGAAAGGTAAAAAAAGATGAAACTTTTTTGGGATGATATAGAAGTTGTCTTTGCCTTTGAAGAAGTAAGTCCAATGTTGTTTTCATCGACAGCAATTGTTGTTGTTGCGGTTGTTTAACCAAAAAACTGAATATTTGGTTAAAGCTAGAATTTAGGAGAGAAATGGGGTTACTGATAATCAAGAAATGAGAGACTTTGAGAACAACAATAAAGCAATGAATAAGTATATATTTCAGTATAATCGCAATGATATTTCGTGTCCTCCAGATGTTGAGACCTTCTCCTTTTATAGTTAATTCTAAAAGAAAGCGTAATGCCTTTGTCTTAATGAGACAATTACGAGCAATAAATGACATTAAAAGAAACGTTACTTAATCATTCCTATTAAATACAAATTCTCTAACGTATTTGGCATTTAATGCTGAATTTGGACTCTTTTACGCTATCAGATTCATGTCTTCAATTCCTTCTGATCTTCGAGCTTTAAATGACTCGAACAGGTACGAGTCTAATTTCATTTGAATAATAACTCGTGCTTTTAAGTATCTTCTCTCCCGAATCTGTTGTTGCTCGTGCCTTCTAACTGATTACCACGCTTTGACTATTTGACCGGTCCACGTGTCATGACACGTCATCTTCAATATTTAAATTCAGTTTTTTCCCAATACAGATAGTCCCCCCACTTTCCATTTATTTATCAATTAAATATTTGGGAAGTGGATCTTCATTAAAAAGGGAATTTTTGCCATAATCAATGCTATGACAGTACTAACGCTTCAGTTGTCTTTTCTATTTAATGCATTGCATACGTGTCACCTTCTCATTAGCTCTGCAATTCTGCAGCCTTTTTTCAAGGCTTCTTCAACTCCAGTATTCACGAAGTGATAGTTGCCTTTATTATAGGCTTTCTATCATTACACTTCTTAGTCTTTGACGGTTGCTTTTATATATAAACTTAACCCTTCTTTCACAAATTTTTACCAAATATTTCACTATTTACTCCTATTCACTTCTTCCTCTGTTCACATGTTTCTCTGTTCACATCTTTCTACCATGTCATCTTCGAATCCCAACCCTAGGAGAGTCCCAATTCTTGACAGTTTCCCCAATGCCCCTGTGAGACACAAAAGAGGTAGAGGAGGTAGGCTTCGTGGCCTAGGATCCATTCGTGGTAGTACCTCTGGTTCCATCACTCCTTCTTCTAGCTCTGGCACTATTTCTAGATAAGGCTGTATGGTGGGCCGGGCCCGGGCCTAAATGGGCTAAACAGGCCGGGCTAAGCGGGTCTGGGCTTAGCGGTCCCGGGCTTCACGATCCCGGGCTTCGTGGGCTCAACGGGTGGGACCAGCCCGTGACGGGCCTAAGCCCATATGGTCCTGGGCTAAATGGGCCGGGCTCGTGGGCTTAGCGGGCCTAACAGGCTTTTTTATTTCCGGGCTTTTTTTTAAAATTTTTTTTATTTAAGGCAATTTCTTGTAAACCATATATGTATGTATATATATAAATTGCTCTTATGCATGGCTATATAAATATATGTAGTATATATAATATAGAAATCTAATTATTAAAGTGCTTGACGAAAAAGTAAAATAACAAAACAATAGTAAAACTAAATTGGCATGCATAATAAATTAATAACAAAGTACAACATGAAGCATAAATACGTCTAATAATTTTAAAATAACACAAATTATTGAAAAATCTTAAAGAGAGAGAGAGCTGACACCTATCCTTCTTTAATTACTGAACCCTTGATTTCCACTGTTCGAAAAGATTGTCGTTGGAGAGATGACCTTCATATAGTTATTCCTAACCCAAACCAGAGAATATCTTCTTATAGGATTGGTTTTTCCTCTGTTTATACTTATCCCTTTACTTTGGGATTTATTCCTGCTATCGACTCAGTCATACTCGATTTCTATCGTTTTTTCAAAATTTGTTTGGCTCAAGTTGGCCCTCTCGTATGGAGAGCAGTAGCTTGTTTAAGGTATGTATCGGTAAAGGATGATGTTGATTTTACCTTTTCTCTTCTAATTCATCTTTACCACCCCAAGCTGTTCCGCAATGGTGTTTTTACCCTAACTGCAAGAAGTAAAAGGGTTTTGGTAAGCCCTGAAGATGATAAAGATCGAGGCTGGTACACCCGTTACGTTGCGGTACCCACGGTTGGTTTGGTGGGTGAATCAAATATTCCTTTTCCTGAAAAATGGAACCTTGCACGTAAGTATTTCTTCCTTACCATATCTGTTTCTTTTTTTAATTTCAACTCCTTTTCTAATTTCATTCTTTTTTGCTTTTTTGTAGCAACCATGGGAGATGTGGAACCCGTTCCTAATTTCCGTGGTTGGATAGATGCTATTTTGAAGGCCGTGCCTATGGAGGCCCGAACCTGGAAATCTATTTCCAACAAACATGGTTGGAAAGTAAAAACTCACGGTATGCGTCCCTTATTATTTCCCGTATGTTAAATTCTTTCCCCTCTTTTAACTTTTTATCCTTCTTTTTGTCAGGATTTGCTATTCGAGGAATGTCAGCTGAAGTAGCTATTGCCCTTCGAGCCTCTTTTGGTACTCCTCTTTCTTTGGAGAGAGCACAAGCTACGCTGTCAAAGAGGAAAGTTGTTGAAGAGGATTCTGAGGATGATGAAGATGAAGACACCTCTTTGATAGTTAGACCTAGAGCCAGGAGACGCATCATTTCCGAAGATGAAGCTGAAATTTCTCCTGCCCGTGCCTCCTCTCCTGTTAATATTGTTTCCGATGATGAAACCATTCCAAGGGACACCATTGAATCCACTCAACGTCTCTTCGTTGACGGTTTCGAAAGTGGTGAACTAGATTCGGTTTTAGATGAAGTTCCTCTTTCCTCCTCTATTCCTATTCCTTCTATTCCTTCTTTGGTTTCAAGTGCTTCTTTGCCCATTTTATTTGTTCCTGCTTCTTTGCCAATTTCTGCTCCCTTACCTGCTTCGACTCCTTCGACTCCTGTTATTTTCACCTCTTCTACCATTCCTCCTTCTATAGCTCCCCCTTCCTCTGTTCAGCATGCAGAGGAGGGTTCCAGTAGCAGAAGTTTGGCTATGAGGAGTGTAACACTCGAGGTTCTTGCTAATAACAGTCTTTTAAGGAAGTCTGGTGGAGCAGATGTCTGGCTTGAGCCTTTAATTGGAGATATTGAGATGAAGAAGATGGATAGTCACAGTTGCTTAACTTTGATGAATGACATAGTTCATTCTACGTTGAAGGTATTCTTCCTTTACTTTCTAATAAGTTTTTTTTATCTCTAGATTCTTATTTTCATGAGTTGTCTTTGTAGGCCAACCTTATTGGCACGGAATTGATGGGAAGAATTTCCCTTTTAGAAAAGAAGGCCCGTGAGTCTGATAAGACTATTCTCGAGGCTGAGAGGGTAGCTAAGGAAGCCCAACTGGAAGCAACTAATTGGAAGGAACAGTTTAAAAATGCTCAAGAAACGATAAAAGAATTGCAAGAAAGCAACCGTAACCTGGAGCAGCAAAAATGGACTCTGACTTCCAAATTAGCGGGAGCCAAAGGCTTCTTTTAGTAAAGCTGAGAAGGATAAGGAGCGCCTTGAGTGTTCCTTTTCAGAGCAGTTATCAAAGTCAAGTGAAGAAATCAGAGAACTTAAGGCACTCTTGAACAAGAAAGAAGAGTATGCAGGAGAGTTAGTACAAAACTTGACTCAAGCTCAAGCTGATTTGAAAATCTCCTCTGAGAAGGTTCATGCCTTAGAGAGTTCTCATGCCTCCCTTGAAGCTACCCTTGATTCCACTTTAGCTGAAAATCAAGTGTTAAAGAATGATCTTGCTATGTGGGAAAGGGATTATGAACTTCTTGAGGAGAAATTTAACATAGAGGTGAGTTGGGCTTTTCTAAACTCTCGTCGTGATGCTTTAACTGAGGCCAGTCAAGAAAACTTTGATTTAGAATCGGAATTGACCAAGGTTTTGAAAACCATTGAGATGACCCAACAACCACTTGACTTTCCTTTTCCAGCAGATGAAGCTCCCGTGGCTGAAGAATCTTTAAAT